GGCCCAATCTCTTGTTTTCTGCATTAGAAAACAGGTGGAGACTTCAAGGCCTGCTACTGCAGAGCCAGGACCAGACCCTCCATTTTATGATTCCTACCAGGACCTGACTAATGGCTTGGCATGTGGCTGGTGACCCAGCTCAGGCACCCGAGTTGGGCAGGGGCTTGGGAGTGCAGAAGAGGCCGTGGTACACCATGCCGGGGGTGAGGATCTTATTCTGAAGACGATGGGGGAACGCTGTGTGATTTTTAAGCAAAGTTGCAACTGTAGATTTGTGTTTTAGGATGATGTAAGCTTTTGTTGTTTAATATTTTGAACATGGGGAAAATAGATCAGTTTCTTCCTTCCTGTTCTCCTATTCAGAGGTCACGAGGTACTGCTGTTTTCCTGGTGGACTGTTGCTCCATTCAGGAGCTGTGCACATCCCAGGAGCCAGTCTGAATTTGTAATAGCATCTTAATTCCAACTCCCCCTCCCTCCTGCCCATTGAATGTTTAGTCTGTGTCCAATTTTCCAGTACTGCACATAGTATCTTAGTGCATACAGCTTGTTCTCATTTTAGATTGTATTCCAAGAAGTCCAATTATTGAAAAAGGGAAGAAACATACTTAAGACTTGATGTATTTTTGCATTCATCTTTGGTTCACTTCTTAAACTTCTGACTGTACTTTTAGAAAATTTAATTTTGATTTAAGTTGCAAAAAGTAACTCATTTTTTGAATCAAGAGTTTCCACAGAATGTTATTTCTAAGGAAATTAAGCACATTGAGAGTATAGTTCTGTAGAACAAACTCCACTTGCATATGTGATTCTTTGTATTTCGCTTAGCAGTTTTGTTGATTTTCATTGCAGTTCACATTGCCAGTGACGCCCTGGTCTGCCAGGTAGCCTCTGAATTACTGCTGTGGGCCGCTTACTAGTTAGAATCATTGCGGAAGCACTGGGTTAGGAATTAGGAGATCTAGGTTTGAGTTCTGAGGTTATTTACTAGATGTGACCTTGGGTAAATCTCATTTAATGTCTCTGGTCTCTTTCCTCATTTATTAAATAAGGGTAATAGTCCCTGCCTGGCTTTCTGCACATGGTTGGTTTGGGTTCAGAGGAAAGAAAGTGAAAGCAAGGTGTAGATTTTCACAAGGGATATTAATATAAGGCATCTTGTGAGGAGGTGGAGAAAATGACTTAGATTTGGACTAAGAATATTGCTGCCCCATTTATCCAATATTGCGTTATGGGAAGAGCAGTTGGGACTATGTGTTTCTTTGAAGTTTGCTACAGAATTTGTCTTTAGAAAAATCTGTTGCAGTCAACCTTCCTGAATGACTGACCTGCTTTTGTATGTGTCAGCTCAGCCATCACAAGTAACTTCAATGGGTTTGGTAGTGAACTTCAGAGAAGCTTCTTATTATGCGCACGCTTTTTGTTTATCTGTTTTTTTATTTCTCAGTCTGTAGATTCTAGCCTTGGGGGTCTTTCCCGATCCAGCACTGTGGCCAGCCTTGATACAGATTCTACCAAAAGCTCAGGTACATACGAGGATTGGATCATTTCTTGTCTAAGCCTTTTTGCTTATGCTTGTATAGTTTCACCAGTGTCACACAATGAGTTCTCGTGCATTCGCGGTTTTCTTCCTCTCCTCTGCCACTTTTGACAAGAGTTTAGAAACGGGCCAAGATTTGGTGGGACGTGGGTTGGGGGTGTGGCTTGTTAGTGAAAACCATCGGCTTGGAGGTTGGCTCAGGCACTCCAGCAAAATGGTTAATGGGTTCTAGAGTAAAAATGTTTGAAAACATTGTGGGCAATAATTTAGAAGTTTCAAATAGCTTTTTAAGAAATGGGGTGGCAGAGGGTGAATTATATTAGACTTATGTTGTTTATGGGGAAGAGGACAAATGTCTTGGTGATTAAAGGGTTAAGGAGCCATTTACCCCAAAGTACCCCGAGATACACTTGCTCACGACCACAAGGAACACAAGTAATTAAGGGGAGCATCTGTCACAGATCCTTGCAACATTTATGCAGCTGCCCGAAATTACTAGGTCCTTAGAAATCAAAAAGTGGCTTCAACCCAAGCTCCATAAATAGCTGATGACTAACTAGAAATATACTATACTCATTTTCTTGCCGAAAATCCTACTTTTCCCTTCAGGATCATTAATCTATAAAGAGAATGTTGTAGCATTAAGTCCATTATCTTGATTTCCAGATGCCTTTAAAATATTAAAGATGTGGATATCTTTTCATTATATAAATAAGCTAAAAGTAATCACAAAGTATTTCCTTAATATGGTGGGTAGTTTGTGGTAGTTTTTGTATTGGCTAGATTTTATAGCACACACAGTTCTTCAACTTGTTGCCATCTGTTACGGGACTTCCTGCCTAGCATTATTCCA